GAGACCAAGGCAGCCAGTCACCTGAGGTCAGGAGTTTGAGACCAGCCTGGCCAACATGGTGAAACCCTGTCTCTACTAAAAATATAAAAATTAGCTAGGTGTGATGATGCCCTTGTAATCCCAGCTACTTGGGAGACTGAAGCAGGAGAATCATTTGAACCTGAGAGGCAGAGGTTGCAGTGAGCCAAGATTGCACCACTGCACTCCAGCCTGGGCAACACAGTAAGACTGTCTCAAAATAAAAAGAAAGAAAGAAATATGGAGCATATCAAAATACCTAATTAATTCGTGCATCCTTCTTATGAACAACACATCATGTGTTATAATATGAGAGATTAAAATGCTAAATCCTTAGTATTTTAGCCATCTAAGAAGCACCAACTATGGTTTGACATGTAAAAATTACATTTTTTCTAAATTCTGGAACTGATCATGGGAATGCAACATTAAAAAGAGTTTTCAAAGAAGAATTATCGCTAGCATAAGACAGAAGCATAGATGCCTAGGAACAATGAAAGATTGTAGTTTGGCTCTCTATTAACCAGAGTGACAATACACTCAGTAAACACAACTAAAGGTATAATTATAAGGAACTTCAGCTATTTCAGAAATGATGAACTGTTGTTGTTTTGTTTATTTTTGAGTTGTCAAGGGCATGACAAAGTCAACATAAAGTGGAGAAATTTATTCTGATTATTATATTCGGGCAGATAACATAGAAATTAGAAATAACTGTTACTATCCCTTGTTAAGAACAAAGTGAATATTCTAAAACTAGTTTGTCATTTTAACATAAAGAAAAAGAAAACTAAATTCCGCTATTGCATTAATATAACAATTGCCAGTAAAGGATTCACAATCCTTTTTAAAAGTTTTATGGGTAAGCCCATTAAAGCAGAGCTAGTTTAGTCACAACTTTAACATATTTCATTGTCTCTTTCCACACTCATTATTTGCAGGTACTATAAGTCAAGGTAAACAAAGTGTTATTTTCCTCAAACTTCAATTTGCCCATTCAAATATATGTCTATATTGAGGGGGTGGGCATGGTGGCTCATGCCTGGGATCCTAGCACTTTGGGATGCTGACGTGGGCAGATCACCTGATGTCAGGACCAGCCTCACCAACATAGTGGAAACCCTGTCTCTATTAAAAAATACAAAAAATTAGCCGGCCATGGTGGTGCACACCTGTAATCCCAGCTACTCGGGAGGCTGAGGCAGGATAATTGCTTGAACCTGAGAGGCAGAGGCTGCAGTGGGCACTCCAGCCTGGGCGACACAGCAAGACTCTGTCTCGAAAAACAAAACAAAACCAAACAAACAAACAAACATATATATTTACTAATCTTTCACAGTGTGGTACATTCATTTTGCTTCCAGACAAAATTTACTCACTTTTCCCTTAATAAGCCAAGCTGCACTCATAATTGTATATGCACCTTCCTATTTCTTTGCTACTTCAATTCTTAGTATAGTCTCAATAACCCATATAAATTACAACTTTTAACCAATTTCTGTTTCCTCTTTTATTTCTCACAGAGATAATGGCAGGCAAGTAACTGAGTATGACTTGAAATATACAAACATTTAGCAGGCCAGTATAGGTCAAAAGCAATCATTATAATGTCTCCTGTGGTCACACATCCCTTTTGCATTTCTTTCTTTTTTTTTTTTCTTGATACAGAGTCTTGTTCTCTCACCCAGGCTGAAGTGGAGTGGTGCAATCTCAGCTCACTGCAACCTCCACCTCCCAGGTTCAAGCGATTCTTGTGCCTCGGCCTCCTGAGTAGCTAGGATTACAGGCATACACCACCAACCCCGACTAATTTTTGTATGTTTAGTACAGACAGGCTTTTGCCATGTTGGTGAGGCTGGTCTCAAACTCCTGGCCTCAAGTGATCCACCCACCTCAGCCTCCCAAAGTGCTGGCATTACAGGTGTGAGCCACTGTGCCAGCCCTTTTTGCATTTCTTTAAGTGGTAAAATAAAGCATATACATTAATATAATCCAAAGGTGTATCAACTCTCAAACATATACAAATAAGAGGCAAAGGTATGCAAATGGTGTATAATACCATGCTTGGTGACCAATGTTTTTGCATTCTATCTTTCTTAGAAATTATCTGAGCAGCTAAGATTATTCATCAGTTTCCTTGATCTAGTATCAATCTAAATTCTCAGTTAATTAGAGACCTTGGAAATTATGTTTAAGCTGATATATTACAGAGTAACATAATCACTGATGACTGATGACATGAACTATTTAGGAAATTCAGATTAACTACAATCTCCACGATAAAACACTCTTCATCACTCTCACATCATCTTGCTTTATGTTCTTCATGGTTTCACAAACTGATATCATTTTGCTTACTTATTTTTTGTGAATATTTTCCCACTAGATGTAAGCACAATAAATAAAGATAATTTGTTTTCCTTAGTGCCTAGAACGTGTAGGAGATATTGAATAAATAGCTTCAAATAAAGGAATACAGTAATTCCTCACTCAGCCTCCTCGGTAGGTTCTTGGAAACTTTGATTTTTTTTTTTTTTTTTTTTTTTT